CAAGTGCTTAAGAAATATCTGTCCAGCCCTAACCGGTTTGGCTCAGTGGATAGAGTGTCGACCTGCGGACTGAAGGGTCCCAGGTTCGATTCCGGTCAAGGGCATGTACCTTGGTTGTGGGCACATCCCCAGTGGAGGGTGTGCAGGAGGCAGCTGATCGATGTTTCTCTCTCATCGATGTTTCTAACTCTCTATCCCTCTCCCTTTCTCTCTGTAAAAAATCAATAAAATATATTTTAAAAAAAAGAAATATCTGTCCAATGAATAATTGAGGTAACCAGTCCATGCAAATCAGCACATGTATGCCATAGGAGCCAAAGAATTCCATACAGCCTATAGGATTTCAAGGGAGAAGGGGAAAAATGGTTAATAGGACAATTCACTTAATCACAAAACTAAATAATGATAAATTAATCACAACATATTGACACCTTAATTTATAAAAACTTACTTGTGTTTAGAAATATAAAGGCTAATCATATATATATACTTAGAATGAAAAATGATGGCTTAATTTTTTCATATTAACAAATAGCCTTCACTTTTCCAAAATGTTTTCTAAAACTTATGCAATGAAAGCACTTTTTATATAAGACAACCTACACTATAGGAAATTATTCTAATTCCTCTATGCTGAGATCACACAAGGTGTCTTTTTAAAGAGAGATTTCCACCTCCAGGGAAAGGAGAGCATAAAGAGAGATTTCCACCTCCATTTCAGCACGAGCATAATCTAGTTTACTGTACTGAGCTACTTAACATTTATTCTAATAAGGGACACACAGGTTACATATGGATAATCTGATCACACTCCCTGACATGTTTTAACAGAAAATAAACATTTTCTTTAAATAGCTAGCAATCCCCCCAATAACCAGTGAGCAAGGAGGGAGCTAATGGCCTGCCTGCGAAAACTGCTGAGCGACTGATAGTTTCAAGCATTCACCCTAGCCTTTAAAATCAATTAATCATTCCTTATAACTGGAACAGAATATAATTAATTATGTTAACTTGGCTAGTTCAAGTTTAATTCCACTAAAAAATCATTATAAAAATCATTATGAATATAGGCCATCATCATGAATTATTGCTAGAATAAAAACAGTAATGAATGAATTTCTAGAATGAATTTCTAAATGAATCTTATTCACATTTTTTAAAAACCTTTGTAATATAAACACTGGGAGAGAAAATAGTATACTGAATCCCCAAGTACCCATCACCCAACTTTAACAATTATCAATTCATGTCAATCTTGTTTCAACTATATTCCAACACACTCCCCAACTCCAATTCCTTCATTATTTCTAAGTAAACCCTAAATACCGTATCATTTTAAGCATTTGCATCTCTAAAAAGGGCTTTTAAAAATGTAACCATCACCACACCTAAAAATAACTGTAAAAATCCTTAAAATCATCAAACATTGTTAGTTTTCCTATTTCCCCAATGGTTTTATTTTTTATTGTTTGTTCAAATCAGGATCCAAGTAAGTCTATAAATTATATTGGTAGATATATCTCTCAAGTCTCTTTTAATGTATCTTTTTTTCTTTGTAATCCCATTGTTGAAGAAACAGGGTCACTCGTCCTGCAGTTTTCCAGTCTGGACTTTTCCTATTAAATCCCTTGTGAATTGCATCATTTAACATGTTCCTTTGTTTCCTATATTTCTATCCTATATTTCTAGTAAAGAGGTGATTAGATTCAGAGGCTTGATCAGAATCAGATTTGACTTTTGGCAGGACTGCTTCGTAAGTGGTGTATTTCCATTAGGAGGCACAAAATGTTAAGACTGCTATCTCTTTGAAGTTATTAGAAGTCACTGGTGACCATTGTCTGAATCCATTCATTGTTGGAGGATAAAATGGTGATAATCTATCACTCTTCAACTTATCAGCTAGGATATCCAAAGGTAACTATGATTTTGTGAACTATCATTAGTAACTCATGGAGTAAAATAGGAGCTTCAATCTCTTGCAGATATTATCCTTACTGATGCTAAAATTACCTCAGCTTTGGCTAGTGGGAACATCAAGGTGGCTCCTGAATCTTTTTTATTTTAATCTAATAGCTTCCTTGCTTTCTAGTGATAGTGTTTTCTAGGCTCTTCTTGGGTATTCCTTTCCCTAGATCTGGAATTAGCCTTTATCCAAAGATGTCCAAAGCTAATAAAGTCAATTAAGGAGGAGTCTTCTACTTTTGTTTCTAATAAATTCATGTGGTTGTGTACCTGTGAATTTTTAAGCATGGAACCCTCACATTTAAAAGAAAAACGTTACCTATATGACAATATGCTAATGGTGGAAGTATTCTTACATAGTAATGGAAGGAGCACAACTTGGTACATCCAGCTGGAAGACAATGTCATAATTTTTATCAATGACAGTTAAAAAACCTTTAACCCAACAATTACATTTTTAGAAATTATTAGGCTTAGGATTTCCCCTCTAGGATTGTTTAAAATAATGAACAATCTAAAAGCCCAAATGTCCAAACAACAAGGAATTGGTTAATTTTTAAATGTACAATGCATTCACAGAATGAAGTATTTAGTCATTAAAATGTAGATACCAATGTATTGTTAAACAAGAAAGGTGGATCACAAAAGTATGCATATTATGCCTTTAGCCACATGCATAGAAAAGTATATTGAAGGCTATATTCCAAAATCTTAGTGCAATGGCTGTTCTCATGTTGCCACTGCTGGTTTAGAATTTGGAATCCCTGGGTCTGTCTGCCAAGTCAAATACTACTCTTCTGCTTTCCAGTTCCATTTTGTTCTTTTCTCCAATACTCCTTGTCCTTGTTGGATTATGCTTTTTTCTTTCTCCAATTGCTATGATTATAGTGGAAATTTTAAGAAAGAGCAGAGGTTAATAAACATTTTGCTGAACCCTCCATTTTTACCTATCATCTTGTTGCTTTTTTATAGGAGAAAACACTCTGAAGAGCTTATCAGCTATAAAACATATGAATTTCTACTGAAAATAGTGCATACATGTATATATCTAAGACACACAATATAACAGTACAGAACACACTTGTATGCTAATAATACAAAGTGTTGGATACAGAAACAATAATGCAAAACTAAACTGGTAATAAATGGAAAAAGAGATTCAAATGAAAGTTGTTTTTAATCAAGAACATAAAACCAGAAATGCTGAAACTGAGCTGAGCCCTGTGATCATCTGTTTAGTTACTTAGAAATCAAACATGGTTTTATGGAAACCATAATTTCTTACAATTTTAATGACTTCTCTACAGATGAACTGTCTCTGGTAGCTGTTTAAAACTATACCCAACTTGCTTTCTAGTTTTGGGAGACCTGATCCTGTAAATCTGGATCATGAACATTCCCTCTTATACCACTGAAAATGGCTGTCCAGTTTTATAATGCTCTTGGTACAGTGACTCTCTTAGACTTTCAATTAAAGGGATTAACCAAAAAAAACCATAAATATATAACACAGGCACTCAGACAACAGTGTGGTGAGATAGCCAGAGGGAAAGGAAGGAGGGGGGGTTGATGAGGGAGACAAGGGGGGGTGGGGAATGGGGACTGAAAGAGACTTTGCCTGGGATAGTGGGCACACAATGCAGTGTGCAGGTGATGTTTTATTGAGTACACACGTAAAACCTGTATGATTTTGCAAACCAAAGTCACCCCAATAAATACAGTTTTTTTAAAGAAGAAATAACAAGAAATTAAAAGCCTTCTCAAGCACAAGCACCCACAATTGCACAGCTGCCAAGGACACTAATCCCATCCTCAGAGAAATAATAATCATTAGGTCTTAAAATGTACAGACCATACAAACAGATGTAAGGATTTAAGAGGAGTAGTTTGCTCAACTTGGAGAAATCTTCAGTTTTCACTTATCTGTGAATATGACAAAAATAAAGTTCCCAACCACAAAGTGCTGAAGATACCCCAGAAAACAAAACTGATCAGATAAAGTTTGTCTTTCCCTTAAAGAAGTCCTTTACCAAACTATATGATATTGCCTGATATTACAAGGATCACTAAGTCCAGAAACTGTAATAACTGACTTTACTGCTGATTTTGTTTGTAAGTTGTTGCCTGAATTTAGAAAACTGGAAAAAATTCTAAATAAAATCTAATCATTCAATTTTAAGTAAAAACAAATTTGCAATCATCTGAATTAATCAATATTGACAGTTTCATGAACAAACAGAACTAAACATAATATACATTTTAATGTTTCTAAATTAAAGTAACTAAAAAGTAGGGCATGTTTATTCATTTAACAAATACTACTTACTTATAACTGGCCTCAATTTTTAAAAAAAAGAAAAAGAATTGGGGGCAGGGCACCATTGTGGACTTATAATTCTTTTTCTAGATAAGACTGAAATGTCAAGTCTCTCCTTATTTGCTATGAATTTGACAAAGCAGAAAAATGAGATTCAAAAATTTTAAATATATCTACTAAACTAGGCTTTTTAAAAAATTAGGTACTTAGCAAACTTTGCAAAATATACATTGGTATAGTAGGTTCTCAAATAACATCGTTTCTTCAACATTTCACTATAACTTTGATGAGATGTTGTAGGAACTTAACTCTAGTTTATGTCAATTAACCTCTGATAAAACTGGTTTCATTATACATCATTTTGCTTTAAGTTGCAGAACCTATGGACCAAGTTAAGTGAAGACTTAATGTCAATAAGACCAGTTTCCAAAATGCCAGCTCTTCCATCAAGAACACTTTTAAACACAAATGAATAGTGACTAGCAATAATGTAAAGCAATTGAGATTATTTCAGTGTTTTAAAAATGTTCAATGTATAAATACAAAGATACCTAATTAAAATTTTTTACATGGACTCCTAACTAGAAATAAAGATATCTATACTTGTGTGGAAAGAGACAACCCTCTTTCTACTTAACAATCTCTTTCATTTAGGAGGAAGTTGCCTAGTGGGAAGCTTCTTTTGGTAGTTCTCAGAGTTCAAGAGAATGGAACCTTCAAGTTGATTTCATCAAGTCTATTTATTAATGCATTTCAAGTTTCAAAAAACCTTACATCTTTTCACAATACTTTATTTTTTGCAATTTTTAGTAAAAATTTCCAAAGTGAACAAAAAGATACTGTATAAAACACAGTGGACATTAAACTGACAGTAGTATTAGATCTTATTTGTCTTGATCCTTTTGTTTTACCACATCTTGATCTGCCGTGGAGAGTTCAGTGCATGTATCTCTTTTCAGAAAACATTTAACTTAGACTCAAAATAAAACAGGGCAGTGTATACCTGCCAAAACCTCACCACAGGATAACATTACAAGCAAAAAATGTACATGTTCCAAAGTCTACCACACTCAAGAAGTTACTAAGAACCTTTGCAGAATAAAAGTCACCATTTTAGAAATGCAAACCCACTTCCAACCTTTGCACAGTCCAAAAACAAAGGCATTTAAATGATTTAAAAGCAATTACATACATATCTACCTACTTGTTTGTTTAGAATTATTTATAGTCTATCTGGGGTTTCATGTACAAAATTTGTCTCTAAATCATGTACAAAAGGCTGTATTTTGAAAAAAGTCACCACGTACTGTACAAGTTTACAAGGAAGAGATCCCATTATTTTCTCTAGCATTTTTGGCCTTGCTGGCTTGCGTCACATTATGAGAATGATTGTGTAAACCTTATACTCTTAAGAAAAAAAGGAAAAAAAGAAGCCAAAACACAAATTTTTTCAACTTTCCCTAAATTTGCCTCCTACATGAAGCCAGGGAAATCATAGCTATTTATGTCTAATTTAAGTGATGTAGTTGGAAAACAGAAGCAATAAATATGTCACAAGCTTAAAATATTCTTGTAATGCCCCCTTCCATTTCTGCATAGCAATAAGCCTGTTAATACATTAAATGCTTTTGCTTTCTTTCTTTAAAAAGCCAATTATTTACATCTGTTTAAAAAATAATTTTTGAATGGGACATTGTGCTGTTTCACCTCCATTGCTGTTAAAGTATTTTACGGGGGAAAAAAATGTCAGAAGGCCTATCTACAATTTACTAGTTGAGCAAATCACTCTTCTTTAGTGGTTACCAATGGTCAGTGATGATATACAGAAAAAACTGTTCAAATATTTTGATAAAAGACACAGCTTTTCTTTTCCATATCAGACAAAAATCAAAAGCATAATTAGCATACTTTAGATGTATGGAAACACAAATAAGAGGTTACAAAAAGAATCATTTCATTGGCATAATTTCTACTGAAACATGAATAAAATGTCACCTATTAATTCAAAAATGGAATTGAATTAGAAAGTTTAAAATAAGCAGAAATCAGACACTCACATAAAGAATTACTCTGAAGTAGTATGCTGCATATGTCCAGTTTGCACAACACAACTGTGTTCTTCAGCATAGTCACTCATGTGCTCTTAGCAGCCATTTGATAAAGACAAAATGAATATCAGAACCAACTCCATCATAAGAAAAGGGTAAATTGATTCTCATTTCAAAACTACCTGTGTAAAGCATTACAGAATCCTGGACCACTGAATACCACCATTCTCTGTTATCCTGAGTATGTCAATTAAACAGTAATTTTTCATTAAGAGCAGAAAAATTTTATAATACAAAGAAACATCCATATTGCAATTTCTGTTTACAATTGCACACAGAAGTACAGTGTACGTAAGAAATACATGTCTGATATAACAAGGTATGTACATTGGCAAGTGATGTCTCCAATGTTGAGGTGGTCGAGCCTCCTAGCCTTGACTGGCAGTTGAAAAATATATATATATATATATTTCAATTTGTGATAAAAGTTTATAGAGAGCCAAGTTTGCCTGCATGTGAAGAAAATGCAGCAACGAAGAACAGGGAACACAGGGCACACAATAATATTCTAAGATTTTGTGCCATTAGGTTAAAAATATCTGTCCATAAGAAAACTGGGTTCCTTTTCCACCCCCCACCCCCAAATTGGAATTTTCAGGCTTTAAAATTTAAGTAATTCCACCTGGTCTGAGGACATGATCTCTTGCCATTTTTTTCTTCGACTGTTATTTGTGAGGGTTTAGTTTGGGGATGACTTAATAGGTGTCTCTTTGGAGTGAAGTTTCCCATTGTAGGCACTAGGAAGAACCAAGGCAAAAGCTGCAGTTAACGTCTCATGTGTCCCATTTGATAACTCTCCCGGGGCCTCTGACGCGGGGGTTGTTGAATGGGCTGTGGAGGTCTCCTCCTCTTTAAAGTGCCTGCAAGTCACAAACAAAAGTAAGATAGATTTACTGTGAGCTTTATACTCTTTAAAAAGAAAGCTGCCATATCAATAAGAAAGGCTCTAGACTGGTACTATCCAATAGAAATATAATATAAGCCATATATGTAATTTTTAAATTTCAGTAGCTATAATAAAAAGTAAAAAATAAATACATTGAGTATTTTTTATTCTACTGAATCCAATATAGCCAAAATATTAACATTTCAAGACATGATCGAGCCCTGGCTAGTTTGGCTCAGTGGATAGAGTGTCAGCCTGCGGACTCAAGGGTCCCAGGTTCGGTTCCGGTCAAGGGCATGTACCTTGGTTGCGGGCACATCCCCAGTGGGGAGTGTGCAGGAGGCAGCTGATCGATGTTTCTAACTCTCTATCCCTCTCCCTTCCTCTCTGTAAAAAATCAATAAAATATATTTAAAAAAGAAAGACCTGATCGATAAAATAATGAAATATTTCATTTTTTGTATACTAAGCCTTCAAAGTCTGATATGTCTTCTATATTTACAACACATCTCAATTGAGACTAGCCATGCTCAACAACCACAACTTTATAATAGACTAATGTGATTTCTGAGGACATGATTCATGACAAAGAAGTTACTGAGTGTCTTTGAGCAAATGACTTAACCTCTCTGCAACTCTAATGCCTTGTCTGTAAAAACAGAGAAAATATCGAACTCATATAGGCTATATGTGAGGATGATATGATAGTGAATATAAAAATGCTTAACACTTTTTGTGAGGGTTCAGTAAATGGTGGAAAGCGTTTTGTGGGGGTTTTTAAGTTTTAAAGATAGAATTTGCTTAAAGTGAAATTAAGTACAAGAATTTTTCCAATAAATGATTATAATTGGAACTAAATTATAATTCGTAACTCATCTAAAAAGTGTTATGAGGTCCTTAGAAGTGCCTAAGAAACTGACAAAAATTCCAGAGGGCTAAACATTGTAAATTTATGAAAAGCAATGCTATAAAAATCAAATTTCCCCTGGTTCCCACCAAGATACTATCCCAGCATGAATACTGAGCTCTCTTGCCCTAAGGTAGGTAAATGCAGGAAAACAACTAAGGGAACATGGAGAACATTGTATGAAACCCCCTGTTTTAATCTGCTTTCTGTAGGGTAGTGAGTTGGCCTGAGGCAAGAGGAGTCAAGAGGAGTCTGTGGGAGGGAGAAGAGGCAACTGCTGTGCTTTAGCTCTGGTTCTCCTCTGGCATTGTCTTGGGACAATGTCTACCCAAAACCAACAGTGAACAGAGTGCTGGTCCAGGAGTCCGGAGGGCAGCATAAAAGTCACCAATACCTTGGGGAAGGTAAGGGAGCAATATATACGAACTAAATAACCTGGAGCAGTTGCTCCCTACCCTTTTCTTCTGTAAATCCCTGGAACTCATCTAAATCCTTCCTGAGGGGAAGGGTGAAGACCAAACCTTAGGAATTATTTTCAGAGATGAAGAATGGTCATTAAGTGACTAAAAGCCTCCACCCTAAGACTCTTCCACGGACTGTATTTCCCCATAAGCATCATCCCTAGGGAAAATAAGCATATGTGCCAGAAAATCGCTGATAAACATGAACATTAAAAACAATAACAGAAGCTTAGCTATTAAAACACAAGGACCAATAATCTAAAACAAAAATAAAAAATTTTAGAATATGAAAAGAAAACAAAAATTAAGAAAATAAGTGAATAAGTACCAAGCAAAAACAAAACTTTCTAAGGTCTAAATGTTTTTAGACACTCTGGGTAGATTAACATTAAACTGTCCGCCATTAGCTAGATTGGACTGATTAAAATAAAATAAAATAAAATAAAATAAAATAAAATAAAACAACACTTAAAAATCAAGTAAATAATGCATCTAGTAATCCCATTCTCAAGGAGAAAGTGCTATAAAATCAGTTACTAAAGACTCATTCATAATTCAATTCTTCCTGCTGAATTGTTCTGTTATAAAAATACATACCTTGCTCAAATTGTCTTACCTGGAAGAGGTTTAGGAGGAGGCAACTTTGGATTACTACTTGGAGTATGAACACTGCATATCTTAATAAATCCAGCCATTAACATGATCAGGGCAATTCCCATAAGCAATACTGCCCACCAATTATCCTAGAAATAAATAGATTTTCAATTTTAGAATATTTATCTATACATATAAAAGCCTAAGTGACCATCCAACCGTTCTACCATCCAACGGTAGCTATGATGTGCAATGACCACCAGGGGGCAGATGCTCCGACCGGTAGCTATGACATGCACTAACCACCAGGGGGTAGACGCTCAACACAGGAGCTGCCAAGCTGCGGTGACTTGGCAGCTGCGATTCTCGGGTGACACACCCCAAAACCAGAGAGGAGGGAGCCCAATTTCAGGGTATGTCACCCAAGAACCACCCTCTTGCAATCTGGGACCCCTTGGGGAATGTCGGAGAGTTGGTTTCGGCCCAATCCCCACAGGCCAGGCCGAGGGACCCTACCGGTGCACAAATCCATGCCCCAGGCCTCTTGTATTATATAAAATACAGAATAGAATATATTACACTTTAATTTTTAAAGAACATTTGTTGGCTGGAAGTTATATAGATATCATATATGAGCACATACATATTAATTTTTTAAGTATAAAAAAAGTATAAAGGAGAAAACAAAAATTACCCATAACTTCACTTCCTAAAGGAAATCACTCAATCCTATTTTCCTATCAGTCTTTTTTCCATATAGCTATGTCATACACGTGGATAAACACAAAACTGGGGTCATCCTGGATATAGGTTATACTGTATTTTTCTATTCTGGTTTAAATATTTCCCCTTTTTTGGTCTACTACTCATATAGACTATGCTATGTTTGCTTTTATATGCTCCACTGACTTGAAGGTATATTACTTTAAATTCTACTACTGCACAGATTTTTATACTCTTTCCATTTTTTTCTACTCGTCAAAGTTAAGACTAAAGTTTTACCTTTTTTGAGGCTCCCTTTTCTTATTACTCTACTTCTTTTGCAATTTGAGACCCAGTCTACTGTTGTAAAATTATTTTAATATATCTTAATTTTCATTCTATTATGCATATATATCATAGTGTCTGTTATATACACTGAGTGGCCAGATTATTATGACCACCTGACGGTTGTAGGCAAATTAGCTATAATTTCACGCTGAAGTTGCTAGCGGGCCAGACCATTATAAATAGGGAAGCGGTTGTTTACCATGACAATAGAAGTGATTTTTTTTCTGAAGATATGGGTAAACAACGCGATTTAACAGCCTTTGAATGTGGGATATATTTGATCGTGAATGGCCAGATTATTATGACCACCCATCAGTACTTCGTTGGGCCACCTTTTGCCTTCAATACTGCAGCAATTCTTCTTGGCATTGACTCCACGAGATGTTGAAAGGTGATGCGAGGAATCTGTCCAGTTCTGTGAGATTTGATGGTTGTGGAACCAGCTGCCTGATGGCTCGTTTAACTTCGTCCCGCAAATGCTCAATTGGATTGAGATCTGGTGATTGTGGGGGCCACCTAAGCAAGGTAAAGTCTCCCTCATGTTCTTGAAACCACTCCTGCACAATACGAGCACCATGGCATGGCACATTGTCTTGTTGAAAGAAGCCATCTCCACTGGGATAAGCCATCAACATGATAGAATGAACTTGATCAGCAACGATACTTATATGTTGTGCTATTCAGACGTTGTTCCACATGAATTAAAGGGCCCAAATCATGCCAGGAAAACATGCCCCAAACCATAACACTGCCCCCACCAGCTTGAAGGGTTGTACTCATGCATGTGGGGTGCATGCTTTCATGCTGTTTCCGCCAAATTCTCACTCTGCCATCTGCATGATACAACTAGAAACATGATTCATCAAACCACATGACTTTTTTTCCAATGCTCAACTGTTCAATCCTTGTGTTCCTATGCGAATTGGAGATGTTTTATCTTGGTAACTGCAGACAGCAAAGGTGTTCTAACAGGCCTTCGGCTTCCATATCCCATACCAGTGTATGGTTAATTTGCCTACAAACGTCAGGTGGTCATAATAATCTGGCCACTCACGTTCAAATATATCCCACGTTCAAAGGCTGTTAAATGGCATTGTTTACCCATATCTTCAGAAAAAAATCACTTCTACTGTCGTGGAAAACAACCTGCTTCCCTATTTATAATGGTCTGGCCCTCTAGCAACTTCAGCATGAAATTATAGCTAACTTGCCTACAGACGTCAGGTGGTCATAATAATCTGGCCACTCAGTATATATAAATTTATCTAAAGGTTAATGGTCTTTTTAATATGAAAAGTGGAGGATGTACATATTCTAGAATCAGGCAAACTTTATTCAGTCTAAAAAGGGCCTAAAAATTTTACTTCTAATTTAAATCATATTAAACAAGTCAATTAGCTACACAAAGTAATAACCTTCAACGTTTGAAATAATTTATAGGAAAGTTACTGTTTCCATTCTTAATAAATTATAAGTCTATTTTGTAATTCAAAATATTCAGATTTTAACATAGCATGTACAAAATAGTCACAACTTTAAAACTATGAACTTTCACATTGGCTTAACACAGACTGTTATAATACATATATAGCCATTGCTAATTATTACTAATTAGAGGCCTGGTGCATGAAAATTCATGCACTGAAGGGGGGTCCCTAGATCCGGCCTGCCCCCTCTCACAGTCTGGGAGCCCTCAGGGGCAGGAGGCGACCCAGCGATCAGGGGAAGGCAACGCTCCCATCACACCTCTGCTGCTGCCACTGCCGGCAGCACAAGCCTCGGGTGGCCCTGGGCAGCTGGGCAGCCAACATCCGAGGCTTGCGTGCGCCTCGGGCGGCCCTGGTTACCTGAGCCTCGGGTGGTCCTGGGTAGCTGGGCAGCTGACATCTAAGGCTTGCCTGCACCTTGGGCGTCGGCTGGGCAGCCACCATCCGAGGCTTGCCTGCGGCTCAGGCCGGCCCTGGGCGGTTGGGGGGCTGGGGGGCTGGGGGGCTGAGGGTGGGTCCAGCCACACCGTGCGCCCGACCCCCTCCTGCTGGGCTGAAAGGACTGTGGGACTCCGGCGGTAGGCACAAGGAATGGCGGGTGGGTCTGGCCGCATCATGTGCCTGCCATCCCCCCGGCAGGGCTAAAAGGACTGGGCGCCGCCATCTTGTGGCTATGGGCGTCGCCATCTTTGTGACAGTGTGACGGTCAATTTGCATATTCCCTCTTTATTAGACAGGATAAAAATCTCATTTAAGAAGATTTTTTTTTCTGATCTGGGGTCTTACAAACAGCCTATTTCTTTATCCATCAGTAACAATGTAATTAAAGTAATAGAAACGAAAACAACAATGCATGCTGTCGCAAAATACCCAGGTCACTTTTCTGTATGTGAAAAGCCTTTCCTATATTTACATATTTTTAATTTGTTTAATTTTGAAGGAATCTCTAACTTATTGAAAAGTTGTAAGTATAACACAAAGAACTTTTTAAAAACTGGAACCATCTAAGAGAACATTGCTAGCATGATGCCGTTATACCTAAACATTTTAGTATATAGTTTCTACAATATTAGGGTGTTTTCCTAGATAACCACAACACAATCATCAATCAGGAAATTAGCAGAGATACATTACTACCACTTAAACCTCAGACCCAACTCAAGTTTCACCATCTGTCCTAATGCCATCCAATTCAGAATTACATGTTGCATTTAATCTCCTGCAATCTAGAAAAATCCCAGTCTTTCCTTGGTTTATATAATCTTGACACTTTGGAAGAGTATAGGCTAGTTATTTTGTATCAAAATGTCCTTCAATTTGGATTTCTCAGATGTTTCCTTATTATTAGATTCAGGTCATACACCTTTGGTAAGAATATCACAGAAGTGATGCTGTGTTCTTCTTACTGCATCCTATCAGCTGATACATGATTTTAATCTCATTATTAGTGATGTTAACTTGATCAGTTGACTGAAGTGTTGTCTGGCAACTATCATAAAAACACTCTTTTATAGTCACTGAGTATTTTGTAGGAACATAATTTGGAACTATGTAAATATCCTGTTCATCAAACTTTTAACTTATTCACTTAATTATTCCCTCATGCTTCCCTATTTTACACAATTTGTTATAATCCATTACTATGATTATTGTGTCTTTTGAATATGCCCCACAACTCTTTGGGCACTTTATTTTCTGACACAAAGCAAAAGTTCTAGGTTCATCTTGTTATTTCCCTGCCCCAGCCCTGGAATCAGCCATTTCTCTACCTCGCCCTGGTTCCTTTTAGAACTGCCCCTCCTATGCAGACATCCTCCCCAAAGCATTTGTACTCTTATCCCAAGCTGCTGCCCCTTAACAGGGCACCCTTCTCACCCTGCTTGGCCTCTAACACCCCATCCCATAGTGGTCTTCTTCCCCATCCATCACTGCCCCACTCTGGTCAGGCTCCAACACCCTACTCTGTGCCACTGTAGCTCCCCCATCTGGTATGAATGCCTGCCTTGCCTGGCCTCACCTAATGGCTTTAGAAATGAACTGTTCAAGAAAAGAGAGCCTTAATGCTGAAAGACTTAGTTTTTTAAGAGAAGCTACAAATCTAAATTTTTATGTGAAATCTATTTTTAAATGCCAGCAACTCAAATTTTCTAAAAACAATATATACACCATTCAAGACATGTTTACACAGCTGAATCTGGCTTGGAAACCATAGTTTACAATCCACTTTTCTGAGCCATTTCTTGTATCCTACTGAGAATGCCAGATAGTTTTTTTGGGTTTCTATAGAAAATAATTTTCAGCGAACTGTTCTCCCTATGAATCTTTAGGATGATATTCTCTTTCCCTTATTATATAAATTTTCTATAGTTTCCTGTTAGGTTTTTTTTTTTTTTGCATTATTCATCCTCAAATAATAAATCCACTCTTTATCAGAAGTGAGGCCTGCCCTCAGCCTATCATGTGCTGACTGAGTTCTCTCTTCACTCTGCCTACTGTCACATGAAGAACTATAAGCACAGCTTCTGCCCTGTTCCTACCATCCAGAAGCCTTTAAAGTATGCTCTTTAATGAAGCAGGACTTTCTTCTACCTCCACTGTCTAGAATTCTGACACCCTGATCTAGTAAAATACATAAAGATCCAAAATCACCAGTGTGTATGTGCTCTTCCTTCTCTACACCAGTGATTCTCAACCATGGCTGCACATTAGAATCACCTGGAAAGTTTTTAAACCTCAGATACCAGACCAAATCCCAGACCTAAATGGAGTAGGGAAGAGATTCTAACATCAGTCATTTTGTTACAGCTGCCCAGATGATTCCATTAAACTGAGAGCTACTGGTCTCTACCAGGGGTCAGCTAACTTTTTCTATAATGTTTCCCATCTGGAGATTCAATCAACCACAGATAGAAACAGTATTATTTTCAATCCACAGATTCAGAAGGCCAACTATATGCACTCTTCTGTGTCACCTATATAATAAAGAGGTAATATGCAAATTGGTCCTAACAGCATCACAATAACGACCAATTTGCATATTAACAGGCCAGCAGGAGGCTGCGCATGCAGCAGGGGGCTTTCTGTGCCCGGGAACCCGCAGCGGCGGGAGTCAGGCCTGGGTCCATCACCAGTTAGAAGGCATCTCAGGGTGAGGACCATCACCTCAGCCAGAACTCAAGATGGTCACCTGGCCTGGCCCCTCCTCAGAGGCAGCCCTTATCCTCCATGTTCACTGCAGAGGACAGACAGGGATGCCTAAGAGGCTGGGGCCATGGTGCCCCATCCCTACCCAGCCCCCCGGCCTCCTTCACATGTGGCCCCCACGGAAGGGTATGTATAAGAGCCCTTCCCTGCTACTTCTCACCACTGTCTCACACAGACATATTGGCTTTCAAAGTTGCCCTACTTACTTCCTCTCACCCCCTTCCAGGGCCTCTGCTCTGGATGGGGCCTTTGGAATCCAGGGATTTGGGGTTTTACAACAAAGCTGGGTTGGGAAAGGGTAAACAGCATCAAAGATGGTTGATATGGCCACCCACCTCTGCTTCAGCTTGACCAATTAGTTCAGCCTCAGAACGTGGCACTCAGAGGGGATCCCTACTTCCCCAGCAATGGCTCTAGGGTCTTAGCCCCATTGCCAACCTCCTCTCCCCCTTGGCCCTCCCCACAGCTGGTGCTTGCTGCAGCTCCATGTGCCTTACTTAACCACCCCTTTCCTTCCTGTTCCTACAAAGGAGGATGCATCTTTGTATGTTATATTCATATAAACTTTGTAATGTTTTGGGGGGAAAAAAACAAAAAACAAAAAAAAGAAATTGACCAAGAGAATGCCGCAGTCAACATCCAGAGTCCGGCTCAGGAGAACGGAGAGAAGGGAGAATTCCATAAGTTGGCCGATGCCAAGATATTTCTGAGTGACTGCCTGGCATGTGACAGCAGAGGAAGGAGTCCAAGTATCTCAGCAGAACACCAAGGACTTCTTCCATGTTCTGAACCTTTGCTTTGGTTTTCAGAATTCCCTGCTCCCCATCTGTTGGCTCCCTCCCTCTGAGGCGTGTTGTCATCGTCACATTGGTGCAACTGGAATATTGTATCTAGAGAGGATTGCCCCAATGTACGTATCCTTTTATCCTACGATGAAAAAATCCCAAAGAATAAGAATGGAGACAGACTACTGTCCTTTAGGCTTAAAAAAACCCCGGAAGTGTCCTGCAAAGAGCTGAAACTTGGTTTTGTCCACGTGCCTCAGAGAGATTGGATGAGGAAATGGCCCGGTTTGGCCCTGACTTTACCCACTTATGTTACTCTTGAAGGTGCCTTTGCCACAATGTGAATAAACTGTCATCTTTTGGAATAGGGGCTCATACGAAAGTCTGCATTCCCAACTTTTCTTGAAAACAGATCTATGTTCTGCAGCTGTGGCCACCGTCCTGAGACCAGGTCCTGTCGCTGGGAATCAGGGGCACTGGAATGAAGGCCCTCCCTCCCCCGTGCCCTTTTACATTCAGGGATTGAGCTGAACTCACTTTGGGGGAGGCCTGGCAAGGGTGACAGGTGTCACAGATAGGAGGATAGAGAATGGAGAGGCGGACACCATGCTCGGTCCTACCCTGGGTGGGGTCAGGCAGACGAAGGCCAGCCAGCCCGCCCCACAATTGGGTGAGATAGAGTCCTCTGTGTCCACCTCTCACCCCATGGGCCCAGCCATTCCCCTCAGCTTCGGGCAGCCCTCTGTGTTCCATGACAGCACGCTCTGCCCTCACATGCTGCTCGCCCTAAATAAGAAGAGAGCACTTGGCCCACAGACAACTACACAAAAAGATAGGGCTCACAGTTGTCGAGTGCAGTGGCGGTGGCTGGAGCCTCTCCTGCCTCCATGGCAGCGCTAAGGAACAGCGAGCTCCGTGGTAAGGAGCAGCAAGTAGATGGGCAGTAAGGAATGAGGGGTCCCGGACTGCAAGAAGGATTTCCAACTGTTGGCTTAGGCCCTTTGGCTTAGGACTGTGAGAGGGTACAGGCTGGGCTCAGGGACAGCCCCTCCCCCCACCCAGTGCATGAATTACGTGCACCAGGCCTCTAGTTTTAAATAAGGAGCTTGAGCATCCCCAAACCTTGGTATCTGTTGGGGGTCCTGGAACCAATCCCCCATGGACAATGAGGGATGACCGTATTTACAATGAGGGATGACCGTATTTACAAAAACAGGGAGCAGATCAGATATCACCCCTGTTCTACAGCCACATACAATACATTAGTTAAATGGCTACCATTCAACACTACTAGCACCTCAGTTCTATCTTTCTATCCTACTAGTTGCCTGAGAGTTTTGGGGGCAGCCATGAGTACCTAATTGGCTGTAGAAAGAAAAGTCCTATGATTGGGAAGAGCTGCTCAAATAATCAGCACCCACATGGTAAAGAAATGGTTCCCATCCCTTAGTAGATCTAAGAATTATCACATATGTTTATTAACATATTAGAGGCCCATTGCACGAAGATTCGTGCAATAGGCCTTCTTTCCCTGGCTGCCAGCACCAGTTTTCCTCTGGCACCCGGGACCCAGACCTTCACTCTGGCCACCACCTTACATCTCCGCTCT